CATGAGGTGGCCAAAGTATTGGAGTTTCAGCTTCAGCATCAGTCCTTCCAATGAACTCCCAGGACTGATCTCCTTTAGGATGGACTGGTTGGATCTCCTTGCAGTCCAAGGGACTCTCAACAGTCTTCTCCAACACCACAGTTCAGAAGCATCAATTCTTCGGTGCTCAACTTTATTCACAGTCCAACTCTCACATCCATACATGATCATTAGTATCTATCAATGAAGAATTTCAGCATGAAGAAGCTAATACAGGGTTCCTTTCCTTGATGGCAGAAATGCTCTCATTTCATCCTCTAGGGCACCAAGAAGCCACCAACAAATCAAGCCTGGGCCATGGTTATGCATCTCGTTTGCAAGAAAGCTCTTGAAAAACCATTGCTATTTGCAATTACTTAGCTGTATGAGTCAAGACTATCTCCAAAACAAAAATATACAAATAACTGGATACTGAGACAATTGTCAACAATAACCCTTGCTGGAATTCTGTGTTCAGTAAAACAGCATCTGTTTATTGGCTTATGTTTCACTTCAGCTTCAAAGATATATTTATACTAAAAAAGTGAAATTGTTGTCTATTTTATTTTGATGTAAAAAAGACGAGTGTTGCTAAAAAGTTTGAAAACTCCCAATGTAAAAAAAAAAAAAGATTTAGTTTTATAGTTGGACAGAACTAAGTCTGAAACTTATTCTTTTACTTAATAACTGTGAGCTTTTAGGCAACTTACTTAATCTCTTGGAACCTTGTTTTTCACCTTGTCAAATCCAGGCAGTATCAGTAACTACTGTGGCACATTATTAGGAGAGTAAAATTGCATATTTAAAACACTTATTATGGCTCCTGGCATATAGTAAGCATTTAATATCTGATCTATTAAAAATGACTAATACCTCATTATCTGCAATGACTAGAAAATGAAGACCTAGGAAGAAAATGAAGGAATATGAGAGAGATATTTCATGCCTGAAATATCAGTTTCAGGCATGCATACACAGTTTGCAAAAACAGCTTGAGTATATTGAATTCTAGAAGCTATAACACCTATGAACTCAGGTGTCAAAATATTTCTATCTAAAACAAATGACAGAGCATATTAATTGTATATACTATTCTAATTGGAAAGAGTATCTCAATGCTATGAAAAAAACAGGGTCTAAAGATTTCATAACCTATGTTACCATCAAACCCATTGTTAAGCATGTCTAAATAGGTATTTACTACCAAAATTTAAGTCATGGTACTAATACTATGAGGAATCCTAATTTTTCAAATAGCATTCAATAACATTCTGCTAAATTTGCTGAAACTTCATTTCTTGGCTTAGATTTTTTATTAAAAAATGTATTAACTGAATTTAGTTATGGAAGTCTCTTATGATACAATGTGATGGAAGAAATAGCATATGACACAATTTATCAAATATCATGTGGCAAAGTGAACATGAAGATTAAAGCAAGCTGATACCTGCTTAGAAAGCGCTTTCATGTGACCTACGCTTCCCCGGCAGTACGCTTCAAGGATAACACCAAATTGTACTGAAGCAGCAGTAATGTGTACTTCAGATCTGCAAAAAGTTAATAGGAAAGAATATTTATCAAACACTTCAGGTCCCCAAATGAAAATACTTCTTTATTCTATTATGAAATTAACTAATGATGCTTATGAAAGAAAGGAAGGTCATATCATGTATACAGTCACTGGTTGGATGCTAAGCTTTTAATTCTTTAAACACTGTAGTTCAAAAAGATATGGGATGTTAACACTAGTTAATTGTTTATTCCATGAAATCCAAAGTTTTTACATCTTATTTTTTGGAATGAAATGATAATATTACCAATTTACAGACAATTAAGATGAAATAGATCTGACTCATATCACACAACTAACAAATCCCTCAATTGACTTCTATTTGATTTTTTTCTCATTTAAAGAATGGTGAACACATTTGAAAAAGGAAGGAATATCTTATTCTGTTATTCCTTTGAGGATTTAAAAATAAGAAGATTGAACTAGATGAGAAAGAAGATAAGTTTAAAAGTTAATAATAAAGAAATCAAGATTCAGAACTATAACCCCTAAAATTACATCAAAATACTATACAGTTTATTTTCTTTAAGAAGCTTAGCCAAAAAGGTGAAAAGTTATCTTTCTCTGTTACTGATTAGCTTCAACAATATGAAGTCCAGGTGGAAAAAAATCACAAATGTCTGAATAGAGTCAGAAACAAAGAAGTGACAATCTTCCTAGGAAACAAAAGAACTTTAGTTCTCTTTCCCAATTCTACTCCCATATAAATTTGGTTTAATAAGACTGATGTATTTCTGAAAATGACCTTGTCAATAAAGAAGCTAAAAATAAAGTTGCTGTTACAGGAAAACCTAAAATCTTTTATATATACACACACATATATATATAATTTTATTTATTTATTTTTTGGCTGCGTTGGGTGTATGTTGCTGGGTGGGCTTTTCTCCAGTTATGGTGCATTGGCTTCTCATTGCATTGACTTTTTTGTTGCAGAGCCCGAGTTCTAGGGTGCACACACTTCAATAGCTGCTACTCCCAGGCTCTACAAAACAGGCGCAATAACTGTAGTGCACGGGTTTAGTTGCTCCACGGCATGTCGGATCTTCCTGTATCAGGGACTGAACCTGTGTCTCTTTCGTTGGCAGATGGATTCTTTACCTCTGAGCCACCAGGGAATCCCTAAAATCTTTACTTACGCAATAGTAGCAATGATGATACAACTATCCACAACCTTTTGGAGGAATAAGTAAGTCTACTTTTTAATCCAAATATGTTAACACAATAAGTATACTTTACTGGAAAATAGCAATACTTATAACCATCAGTAGTAGTAATAAAAATTGCTATGATGAAAAGTTATTAATTACAGTTAAAAATCAAGGAGGCATAGAGGGACATTTATTTGAGTTACATTGCCAAATCATGAAAATTGAGAATCTGGGTATTGAGAAATAGGAGAAGACACCAGAAAAGCAGAAATGCTATGGATGACTCAGAAACAATTAAAGCAGCTGGACTGTTCTGCTAAATGTCCTATATTATGCTGATTAATACTTACAAAAACATATAGTGGACTCAATTTGAAATATAAAACACTTACCTGAGGTGCCAAAATAAAAACTGCCTTATCCTCCAATTAGCAAGTGCTCTTTCTAGTAGGAATCTAGACAAGGCACAATCAAGAAAAGGCTCATATTTTAAAACTTGCACCAACTGTAAAAGATACTGAGAGAGTTCTTCATCACTGAAAGAAACAAAATACAGAGTAAGTCACTCAACAATCAGAGCTGGAAAAAGACCCCTTCTCACTTATCAAACTCCAAATACTAACTTACTGAAACAGTTGTTCTTTGGGGTCAAGCTTGTTGCATGCTGTACATTCAGTTTCACAACTACACTAACACAAGATAAGTTGAGGATTTCTGGTGGGCAGAAGAGTGTGTGAAAAGGAACAAAGAACAGCTATATGGGGCACTTTCAGTAAGTTAACTAGGTTGATACAACTGATGACTGTATTTACAATCAGCCCAGAGTTATAATAAAAATAGTTTTCTGATCATGCTGAAGAAGTTTACATACTCAATCAACCAGTTTTTTAAAATACAAATTCCATCAGTACTTCAGCAACTTAATTTTCCTTTCCTGTCAAAGGGTTAAGTAAATTTTGCTCCCAGATAATGAATGAACAATTAAAATCTTCAAATAGTTTGAAGAATAAAGAGTGCATTTATAAGTTGGAAGGACTCAAGGAATTAACAAAACACTATAATTAAATGAGCTGAATTAATTAAGATTGTGGCTCTCTATTTTGTATCTATCTCCAAACCATTCACATGTAAACAGTCTCATTAGAGGCAATTCCTGTAGTCAGGTTAAGATACGTATCTCAAGTCCTCTACTTGGTGACTAGTCTTGGACAATAAATGGTTAAGAATGTAGTCTAAATCAGATGTGGAACCTAAATCTAGGACATTATTCACCTGGAAAAGAAAAACCTCATAAGCAGAAAATTTAACAGAGGAAGACTCATTAGAATTACCTATATGAACTTGGGATCACAGCAATCTCTGCCTAGGGGTCAATATATTTGAAAAAAACAGTTGGCTCATTCCAGGGAGGTGGCCAGGTAGCCCCTCCCCCTCAGGTATCCGATGCAAACCTAGGGAGGCTGAGGAACAACTGGGAGCCTCATTTTTAAAAACTATCTATACAACAATCTTAAGCTTACTGTAAAATCCATGCCCACTATAAAATCTATAAATAGTGTAAATTATAGAAGTATAGAAGAGGCTTCCTCTTTCCTCATACTTAAAAAGATGTCTCATAGACATACCTGAAAAAATGTTTTGTATAATTTGTTTTGAATATCACACAATTTAAAAGATATATTTAAAAAAGAAAAAAATCACTATATCCTTAATTTTCTGAGAAGTTTTGCTTTTTAAATAATCATACAGAGACTTCCCTGGTGGTCCAATGGTTAAGATTCTGCACTGCCAATGCAGGGGGCGCAGGTTTGACCCCTGGTCTGGGAACTAAGATCCCACATGCTGTGCATCACAGCCAAAAGAAGAAAAAAACAAACAAAAAACGTACAGTATAACCCTCCTTTTGAAGCTAGAAGGAAAATGGAAAAAATTTTAAATGCTCATTGTCTGAGATTGTCTTCATAATGATATTTTATTAAATAAATCCCACAGATTCTCACACATGTACTACCCTAAAGGGACTATAGAAACATGTTCACTGTAGCATTGTTAACAATGGGAAATTTTGAGAAAATTTTAAATGTTCTTCAATAGTGAAATGGAGAAATATAATAAATCTCTATGACAGACACACAGTAGTGAAAGGAATAAACTACATTTATACATAACAGGAGAAGACTGCCCTCAAAAACCTAATGTTCAATAAAGGAAGAAAAAAACTATGTAAAATAATATACAAATGACAAGGCACATTTATGTAATTTTTAAATGTAACATATATCTCATACCTATACTTTATGGATATATGAAAGTGATAAAAAACAGAAAAATGATGTATAGAAGAATACACACCAAATTTGTGGTAACAGCTGTCTCTGGGAAGTGAAAGTAATCAGGACTGAAGAAGCAAACTCTGAAGACTCTAACTGTAATGTTAATTGCTTAAAAAATACAAACTTAAAAAAAACCTTTAAAAATACAAATTAAGAAATTAATATTTTTTAGTTCTGGGTAGTGGACAGAAAAGAATTAATAGAATAGCAAGTCAGGTTGCTATCCTTTGAAAAAGTAAGCTTACAAGGTTAGCCCTTGGCTCGCATCTGGGAATGTAGACTGGGAAGGCTTCTCACCACCTTAACAGATAAGACTGGGTCACTGCTTAAACTGCTTTTGCAAACAGTACAGCTTATGCCCAACACCCATTTTCATTTCGGGAGTCTAGGATTTGGGAATATGCTAGACAGAGGTACTTAAGTGACTAGGTCTTAATAGAAATCAAACTAGTGAACAAACAAACTACAACTAAGTCTCTAACAAGCTCTCTGGTAGACAGTATTCAGGCATGCTGTCACGAATTGTTGCTGGGGGAATTAAGTGCAGTCAGTGTGACTCCTTTTGGAAAGAACTCTCATAGCAGCATCTCTCTGGTTTCCTCTGGATTTTGCCCCGTGAATTTTTCCTCTGCCAATTCTGCTCTGGATTCTTTTGCTATAATAAATCTTAGCCAAGAGTCATGAGACTGGAAAGTGATCTTGGGGACCACCAAATGCAGTTTTTGACTGTTTTTTTTTTTTTGTTATAGAGGGGACTTCCCTGATGGTTCAGTAGTTAAGATACGGTGTTTCCACTGCAAGGGGGTATGGGTTTAATCCTTGGTCAGGGATCTAAGATACTGCATGCCATGTGGTGTGGCCAAAAACAAAAACATCTGTTTCGAATGTGTGTGTGTGTGTGTGTGTGCGCGCGCGCGCTGGGTAGGAGAGACTTGAGAGTGCGATAGAACAACAGGGAGGAAGGGACACTTCTCCTTTCTTACAGAACATTCAAGCAGATCTCAACTTCTCTTCTCACCCACAAGTTATGCCTTGACCCCAAAAAGCCTCCTGCAGGAGATACCTCATCTGTTGCAGGCAGCCCACAGCATATTCTCGCACATACTGATCTGGATAGTTGAAATCTAGAAGCTCAAGGGCCTCCCAGGGGGGCAGTTTAGGCCAAATCTGAAGTACTGCTTGAAACTGTTTAAAAAATTGAAAGGAAAAAAAGATTACTTTTCTCTCCTATAATTTCTGAACCACTTATCTGTTTTTTCTCAGTACACAGGAACAGAGACGGGTCAAAAGAAAGGAGAAGCATACATGCAACTACTAAGGTCTCAAAAATCCATTATTGCTAATATAGGTTAATAAAAGATGATATCTGTTGAGATATTCTCTAGGTAAGCAGGCAAAAAAGTGATTATGTACTTAGCTGGAAGTAGAATGATACACTGAATATATGAATTCTACAGTCATTAACCATTAAAAAATTTTTTAAAGGAAATAAGGCAGGGGCAAGAGGAGAGGACAAGGTGAGAGGAAGGGGAAGAGAGAGAAATGACCAAGAAATACCTAAAGGCCTTTGAGGGAGGCCAAAGAGGGAGGGTGATTGCAGCCATGAAATTAAAAGACTCTTGGAAGGAAAGTTATGACCAACCTAGATAGAATATTAAAAAGCAGAGACATGACTTTGCCAACAGAGGTCCATCTAGTCAAGGCTATGGTTTTTCCAGTGGTCACGTATGGATGTGAGAGTTGAACTATAAAGAAAGCTAAGCGCCGAAGAATTGATGTTCTTGAACTGTGGTGTTGAAGACTCTTGAGAGTTCCTTGGACTGCAAGGAGATTCAACCAGTCCATCTTAAAGGAGATCACTCCTGGGCGTTCATTGGAAGGACTGATGTTTAAGCTGAAACACCAATACTTTGGCCATCTCATGCGAAGAATTGACTCATTGGAAAAGATCCTGATGCTGGGAGGGGTTGGGGGCAGGAGGAGAAGGGGATGACAGAGGATGAAATGGTTGGATGGTATCACTGACTCGATGGACATGGGTTTGGGTGGACTCTGGGAGTTGGTGATGGACAGGGAGGTCTGGTGTGCTGCGGTTCATGGGGTTGCAAAGAGTTGGACATGACTGAGTGACTGAACTGAACTGAAAGAAGGAGGGATATACATATACTTATAGCTGATTCACCTTGTTGTACAATAGAAATCAATACAACACTGTAAAGCAAGTATCCTCCAAGTAAAAATAATTTTTTTAAAAAAGAAATACTTAAAGGTAAAATTCAAAGTACAAATATAAGCTGCAAGACTCAAACTAATAAAAGGCAATTTACATTTAAAAAGTACATTAATAAATCAATATAAAATTATCTTGAGAGAGTTTAAGAGTATCTATCACTTTATAAAACTTTACTGATTAGAATACATTTAAATCCTTTAAATCATAGTAAGTTACCCATAGGAAATAAATAGTACCTAGTTTATTAACACAGCCAGTTTCCCATTTACAGATGCCACTTAGAAATTATCAAGACGTAGGATAAAAAAGCATCCCATGGGGGGATGACTGGAGAGTGCCTGTGATGGTTGGGCTCAGATGGATGTGGAAACCTAAGTCCCAGAAAACCCAAATTTCTAGAAAGGATTTTATCTGCCTCCCATCAGAATGCAGTGAGACTCATCAGAGTTGATTTCCTTTTATGAAGGGTTGATTTTGGAAAGAGTCCCTTCTTCCTCATGATTTTGATATGTTTATAGCTTACATTCTTATCACAGAAGGGAAGTGGGAAGAAAATTGGATACGGAGGTGAGTGAAACACTTTTTTGATAATTATGAGTTGTGGCTGTCCAAAGCTCAACCCTATATGACAAAGTCTTATTCCTTAATTTCTAATTTATGTCGCTGGATTTTCTTGGGTATTACTTAAACAGCACTGACATCAAGACCAAGGAAGAAGCACAAAATGTATGCAAGACCAGACATACAAGAATATGGCAAATAGACGGCAATGGCTGAAGGTTTCTCTCAATTGCCTGTTCAATCTCAAAGTCGTGTTGTAGGAGGTAGCCTATGGAACCTCCTGCCTGCCTTGTCATTTGTCATTTGAGCATTTGTGAGAAACGTGGGCTTTGACAATTACATAAAAATAATTTAAATTCTATTGCTTTAATTATGAAAATTATAAAACTTCTCATTAATTTCTCAAGTGCCCAAAACAAGCCAACATCTAAATGAGTAACTAGCAGTTGAGGTATTTTCTCATACGAAACAAATTTAAAATTTAAGTTCTCTAATGATAATTTATAAAAAATTAATTTTAAATTGCTTTACACTAGCAGAAAAAAAACCCTTTTGAGTAATTTTTAGAAGTTGATTACATTACTATTATCAATATACATTTACATAAATTACTAACTTGATATGAGACGTGATACTTTGCAATTTACATAATAAATTATATCAAAGTTATTCAACAAATACAGTGAAATGTTACTTTTTACATTTTAACTTTTACCTTAAATCTTGATTCAATTATTCTTAAACTACTAAAGAAAAAGATTACCTCTTATACTTGCTTTTTTAATGTATACAGTATATGTACGCATACAGTACATAGGCAGACGTACACTTACCTGTGGTATCAAAATCCCATGGGATAGGGCTATTAGGGGAAAAATATGTAAAAATTCTCCTCAGGAATGTAATAATGAAAAAAGATTGAGGAATACTGGCTTAAAGATATGAAACACCTACCTCACCCCAGGTTTTATCACCCACTTTCTCCAAAACTCTAATGGACCAATAGTCCTTCTTATATAGATAAGGGGGACCGTTTCCTAAGGAACTAAAACAATAGTTTAAAAAAACTCGTAGCATCCCCAGTTAACAGATGGAATACACTGCTCCACAAAAACAATACCGGGATAGATGATGTTATATAACACCAGAGGTTCAACTATGTTATGGGTTAAAAATAGCCCTACTACTGAAAAGTAATTCTCTTAGTATATTATTTATAATTATTAAATTGAAATACAAACATTAAATTACAAACACTCATCACTTCAGTTTGATGAAAGCTATGGAAGCAAATAGGGAAGGCAAATCTGACTTAACCAAAGAAATAGTGAAATTAGTTTCACTGTTTTCACTATAAATAGTAAAATTAACATAATTAATTACACATCTGCTGCAGAGATGATTGAATTAATTTCACTATTTATATGGCTATTGAAATCCCTTCTGCAGTATGCCAAAAGAATACTTCCTTGTGCATTAATGGGAGGCTAATCTTTTACAGAATTTTCACCCAAGGCTTATACCTTCAGAATCACAGTACAAATTTGCACCAAGTTCTGACTCTCCACTTCACTTAGGCAGTCAATTTTTAAAAAATTTTTATTTATTCATTTGTTTATTTTTTACTGCACTGGGTCTTAGTTGCTGCACAAGTACTTTCTCTAGTTTCGGCGAACGGGGGCTATTCTCTAGTTGTAGGTCATGGGCTCTAGGGCGCGTGGGCTTCAGTACTTAAGGGCTCTCAGGCTCTAGAGAGCACAGGCTTAGTAGCTGTGATAAATGGGCTCAGCTGCTCCATGGCATGTGGAATCTTCCCGGCCCAGGGATCAAACCCATGTACCCTACATCATCAGGCAGATTCTTAACCACTTGACCACTAGGGAAGTCTGGTAGTTAATTTATTGAAAATATGGTTTATATTCTCTTCTACCAGTTCAGTGTAGCTGGCAATGGGATAGGACCGGGGAGAAGCCAAAACACACTATTTTTTTATTCTTTTGCTCTTCCTCTCTAGTCTACTAAAAGGGGGGCTTAGGACCATGAAATTCACATCTTCCTGTACTTGCTTATACACATTTAGGTTTTTCTATTTGAGTATTAAGTTACACTACTGACTTTTTCTACACAATGGAGGAAATTAACTTATATCTGAAAACAATGCTTTAGATTCACTCATGGAAATGAGACAAGTATACTAAATTCCTCAGTATAAAAATCTGTGTCCCTGGGGTTCAAATAAAGAAATATTAAGCTTGAATTGTCTTATTCTATTTTCTGACAACTAGAATATAAAACCTCTGTTTCAGATATCTTAAGAATACAGTAAGAATTTTTTTCTATTCTAATTCTATTCAAAATAATAAAATGATGCATTTCTTGGATAGGCACTTAGAAATGAATGCTATTCATGAGAAGTAGGCAAATGTGCCAACTAAAAAATTCTTATATCTTACATTCAACCATTATAGGGGTTCACAGAAAACTAACCTTGAATTTAAAGAAATAACTGGTTAGATGACAACTATATTGGAACAGTTAAAATCTAGCTTTAAAAAAAAAGACATCCTGACAAAAATAGCTCCTTTTCAAAGTAGGTAATGGTCATGTGGCCTAACTGTATAAACAGTTTAAACAAGGCATATAATTTTGTAACATGATTCGAAAAAAACCTGTTAGACACTAGGAATAAACTCAAAAGAAATCCTTTCCAAACTTAATTTGAGAAATAAAATAAAGCAAAGATTTTAAAAATACAAGATTAAAATAAATATGTATTTTTCAACTAAATTTAAGTCATTATAGATTTTTTAAGCTTTTTTTCATTTATTTTTATTAGTTGGAGGCTAATTACTTTACAATATGAATGTAAAGTAAAAAATTACTTTACAATATGAATCAGCTATGGATTTACATGCATTCCCCATCCTGAACCCCCCTCCCACCTCCCTCCCCATCCCATCCCTCTGGGTCATCCCAGTGCACCAGCCCTGAGCACTAGTCTCATGCATCCAACCTGGACTGGCGATCTGTTTCACACTTGATAATATACATGTTTCAGTGCTATTCTCTCAGATCATTCCACCCTTGCCTTCTCCCATAGAGTCAAATATAGATTTAATAAAACAAGAAAAAATTTAAAAGATCAATTGAATTCAAGTAAGTAAGGTGAATAAATGTAGTTCTCTTAATATAACAAATGTATTCATTCTGATTAAAAAATCATTTCAAGAATATTTCTGGAGAAAATTGATAACCAAATGCATTTCATAACGCCACTGTTTTTTCATAGGTTCTTGAAAATAAAAGCAAGGAGCTAAAATCTGGTGGCTTCTTCCGGATCCAAATTTTTTTCTTTTTTCTATACTGCCTAAAAGCAAACGTTCATCAACACTGCCC